TGGGTAAATGTTATTGGTCATGTCAATGCTATCAGTATATCATATATCATATACAGTATCATATATATGTTTTAATTCGGTTCTATTTTGTATTCTTAGGTACCCGAATGTAAATATCACCAACTTCACCACAAGCTGGAAGGATGGCTTAGCATTTAATGCCCTCATACACAAACACAGGTACAGAGAAACAAAAGCAAACTAAACAAATACTGACAAGAAATGAAATACTGTAAAACATTGAAATAATTTCTTGAATTTTGCTTATCGTTCATTCCTTTAGGCCAGATCTGGTTGACTATGGCAACCTGCAGAGATCCAACCCAACTCACAATCTTCAACAAGCTTTCAATGTGGCTGAAAGAAATCTTGGAGTCACCAAGCTCCTGGACCCAGAAGGTAAGAAAATGTCTTTATACCAGAGACTCCTAATGCAAACAAATTTTTATTTTACCATGGTTCTGTTTGAAAGAGATCATCTCTTTGTTCTGTTATTTGCAGATGTGTTTACTGAGAACCCAGATGAGAAATCCATCATCACTTATGTTGTTGCTTTCTACCATTACTTCTCCAAGATGAAAGCTCTGGCAGTTGAAGGCAAGCGAGTTGGGAAGGTGAGAGCAATTCTATTTTTATGTACAGTAAGTGCTTGCTTAACTCTGTGTGAGCATGTGTGATTTATACAAATCAAACTTGCACTGAAAAGGCATATAATTCTTCAGGTGCTGGACCAAGCCATTGAGACAGAAGAGATGATTAAGATGTATGAGACACTTTCTTCAGACCTGCTAACATGGATTGAACAGACCATCATTATCCTCAACAACCGCAAACTCGCAAACTCTTTGAATGGAGTCCAGCAACAATTACAAGCCTTCAACTCGTACCGTACTGTGGAGAAGCCACAAAAGTAAGCGCAAAAATGGACTTAATTTATTTTTATTCTTATTACTTTTTACGTGTTCTTAATTTGACTTTTAATTATCTCACATTTTTATCCCAACATCTATAAAGATTCCAGGACAAGGGAAACCTGGAAGTACAGCTCTTTACAATCCAGAGCAGGATGAGGGCCAACAAACAGAAGGTTTACACCCCTAAAGAAGGTGCATTGGTGGCAGACATCAACAGGGTGAAACACCTCTATTGGCTTAGCTTTTCTTATTTTCTATCATTGTAAAGTATATATGGTTTGCATATAATAATAATAATAATTAGTAATATCTCATGATGTATAGCACTATTATTGAGTTATTGAGTGCGAACAATTATCACCTGACCCAGGCATGGGAGCGATTGGAGCGGGCTGAATATGAGCGAGAGCGGGTGCTTAGAGATGAGCTCATCAGGCAGGAAAAGCTTGAACAAATGGCCCGTCGTTTTGACAGAAAGGCTGCCATGAGAGAAACCTGGCTGCTGGAGAACCAAAAACTGGTAGCACAGGTAAATTGTGTTGCCTACATGCTTTGGAATAAATTGGGATTGGTTGTTTTTTGCATCCACATGCCACAGTCTAAAAAATAAGCAATATACTTCAATGTATCCCTTTATGTTGTAGGACAATTTTGGATATGATCTACCAGCAGTAGAGGCAGCGAAGAAAAAGCATGATGCCATTGAGACAGATATTGCTGCATATGAGGAGCGTGTACAAGCCCTGGTGGCCTTGTCTAAAGAGCTTGAGGCAGAGAGGTACCATGACGCTAAAAGGATTGATGCAAGGAAGGACAATATCCTGAGGCTTTGGGACTACCTCCAGGAACTTCTGAGCGCTCGAGGGGGCCGCCTGGAGAAGAATCTCACCTTGCAAAGAATCTTCCAGGAAATGCTTTACATCATTAACTGGATAGATGAGATGAAGGTAGAAGAGGTTTTTGATTACTGTTGTGAAATTTGTTAGTTCTTTATGCTTTAAAAATTGTGTGTAATTGACTTTTCAGAAAGATCAGTCAAAGCATAATTGTGTTCTAAATTTCAAGTGTTCGAGTTTCTTTGTATATGGTTTGATTGAGACTTAATTGATACTTTTTTTATCAGAATCGTCTCCAGTCACCTGATTTTGGGAAGCACTTGTTGGAGGTGGAGGACCTTCTGCAGAAGCATGCTTTAATCGAGGCAGATATTGCTGTGCAAGCAGAGAGAGTGAGCTCTGCTAATGCAGCTGCTCTCAAATTTGCAAATGGAGACAGTAAGTAGAACATTTTCTTACACTTCCCCTGCTATTAGCATGCTATTATACTATTATCATATATGATTAGCACCGAATTGTAAACTTGTAAAGTAAATTGACCTATGAAATAAACTAATCATGCAATCTTTGTAAGTATGTAAATATGCATAGATTCATCTGTGATTTTTTTTGTAAATTCTGCACTCTGCCTCCTCAACCAGGCTACAAACCATGTGACCCCCAAGTGATTCGAGACAGGGTACAGCACTTAGACCTATGTTATCAGGAGCTGTGTGCACTTGCAGCACAACGCAAGGCCCGTTTGGAACAGTCTCGCCGTCTATGGCACTTCTTCTGGGAGACAGCTGAACTGGAGAGCTGGATCCGTGAGAAGGAAAACATATTTTCCTCTCTCGACTATGGCAAGGACCTGACCAGTGTGCTGGTGCTTCAGAGTAAACACCGTGCTTTTGAAGATGAACTAGGTGCTTGGCGTGATCACCTGAAGGAGCTGATGGGTGAAAGTGAGAAGATGATAATAGCCAAGCATTTTGGTTCCCCTAAGGTGCAGCAGCGCATGCAGGAAGTTCAGAGGCAATGGCAGCAACTGGAGGAGCTGGCTGCATTCCGCAAACAGAACCTCCAGGACACTCAACATTTCTTCCAGTTCCAGGGTGACGCTGATGACCTTAAGGCCTGGTTGTTGGATGCCATCCGGCTTATGAGCACTGAAGATATTGGGCATGAGGAATACACCACACAGAGGTTGCTCAAGAGGCATCGTGCCCTAAGTGACGAGGCAGTTAAGAATGGAGCCACCATAGATGCTTTGACCAAACAGGCCAATTCACTGCCCGAGGAGCTAAAGAACACCCCTGACATCCAGCGGCGTTTGCAGGACATTAGGGATCTGTACATGGAGCTCTTGTCTCTCTCAGACCTGCGACAGAAGAAGCTAGAGGACACTATGGCACTGTACACCATTTTCAGTGAGACAGATGCCTGTGAGCTCTGGATGGGTCAGAAAGAGACATGGCTGATCGGCTTAGAAACACCAGAGACGTTGGAGGATCTGGAGGTCGTTCAGAATAGGTATGTACATGTTGTAAGCCCACCCTGTTTGAAATGTGTCAAGTGGAGTGGTATTTAGTACTTCTTATTTTAAGAACATATGGGCATAACTGACATGCATGCCATTCCACTGAAATTCCACATTCCAGGAGCTGCCGGGTGACACTTTGGTAAACATTTTTTAATAGTGAAGTTTTCTTACATTAATAATTTCTTGTGTTGTCAGGTTAAGCATCCTTGCCCAAGAAATGGGCAACATGCAGGTATTGGTAGACAACATCAACAGAGCAGCCAAGCAGCTAGAGGACAGCAGGCACCCACGATTCAAAGAGGTGAAAGATTGTCAGACTCATCTCAATAAGAGGTAAGAACCATTCTTTAAGTATAGACTTTCAAGCCATGCTTGCTAAATTTAGTTGTCCTATTAAATATCAATAGATATCACATAACTTTAATAACACTAATACTCCCCTCACAGGTGGGATGCATTTAAGGATATGGTAGAATCTAAGAAGCATAAGGTGGATTCAGCACTCAGTTTTCACAATTATGGGATTGAGTGTGATGAAACCAGGGCATGGATCAAAGACAAGACACGAGTCATTGAGTCTACACAGGACCTTGGAAATGACCTGGCTGCTGTCATGACTATCCAAAGGAAACTTTATGGCATGGAAAGAGACCTGGCTGCTATTCAGGATAAGCTGGACTTCCTGCGTGGTGAGGCTCAACAACTTGTCAAGGACCATCCTGAGAATGCCGCTGACATCTTGGCCCAACAAGCAGAGCTAAACAAAGCTTGGGAGACATTGAAACAAACATTAAAGGATAGAGAGGATTCTCTTGGTGAAGTAAGCAAGTTGCAAAACTTTCTGCAAAACCTGGATGACTTTCAGTCCTGGCTTTTCAAGTCACAGAAGGCCATTGCATCTGAGGAGATGCCTACAAGCCTGCCAGAGGCAGAGAAGCTCCTTAGTCTTCACGATGCACTAAAAGATGATATGGACAGCCATGAGGAGGACTATCACAGCATTAGAGACACTGGAGCAGCCGTCACCCGTGACCAAGAGGAGGATGCCCAATACCAAGAGCTGGATCAGAGGCTGAAGGGCGTAGATAAGGGTTGGGATGAGCTGCAAAAAATGTGGGACAGTCGAAAGAACTACTTGGACCAAGGCTTGGGTTTCCAACAGTTCTCAAGAGATGCAAAGCAAGCTGAAACCATCTTGAACAACCAGGTAAGCATATTGCCAACCTTTTTCCAGCTATTTGGCCAGTCCAACCCATAGCACAAATACAAAAACTTTTGTACATTTCTATTTATATTTACTAGGAGTACGTTCTGGCTCACCTGGAACAGCCTGACACACTCGATGGGGCAGAGAAGGCTTTGAAGAAGCATGAGGATTTTGTCACCACTATGGATGTTAATGAGGACAAAATAATAAATACACTAGATGGAGGCCAAAGGCTGATAGACAGTGGAAACCTTTACTCACCGAAAGTAAAGGACAAAATAAACTCTATCCAAGACAGGTCAGAAACATTTTATAATGTTTATGCTAAATACTCCTCTCTTAGTTCCTGTTTCAGATTCACTGATATTATACTGTGTGTCCATGCATCTTGTATCTTTTATTTGACCAGTGTTATTCTGCAATTTACATTTACATTATCTGGCAGATGCCCTTATCCAATGAGTCCTTCATTTATCTCATCTCAGTTGAGGGTTAAAAGCTTTTTGCTTAAGGGCCCAGCTTGGTGGTGCTGGGATTTGAACTCATGACCTTCTGATCAAAAATCCAAAGTCTTAGCCACTAATCCACCACTGTAAACCTTATAAGAATATGATAATAAAGGATAAGAACAGTAACCAAAGTCTAAACTGCTTTGAAAGTGTCTATATGTTCTCCTTCTAGCAGGTAGTGTTAGGAGATTACTAAAACATGCTGTGTAATCTCACCATTCTCGGGTTAGCATTGAGACAAGAGCATTAGGTAGTGTAGAGGAAGTCTATATTTTTCCCATAAGTGGAGGTCGTCTGCTGTAGTGAGAGCTGGGCGCCTGTCCTGATGGGTATTGATCTCATAGTAAAAGTGCTCATCTAGAACAGCAGAGCTTTGTTCTGGAGATAGCGAGACTTTCTCACTGTGAGTTGTATGTTTATATGCACAGGAAACTTGCCTAATGTCTGTTTGTATGTTCCTGCAGATATGATAAGAACCAAGACAAAGCCAAAGAGGTATCTAAGAAACTCCGAGACAACAAAGACCTGCAACACTTTCTTCAGAACACTCAGGATGTAAGTGAATTTTCTAACTGATCTGAATGAATATAGATAGCTTTCTCTAGTCATTTTACTTTTAATACTCATTTCTTCCTATCTCTGCCTCATTTCTCAGCTTACTCTGTGGATAAATGAGAAGATGCTGACTGCTCAGGACACCTCATACGATGAGGCTCGCAACCTTCACAGCAAATGGCAAAAGCACCAGGCCTTCATGGCAGAACTGGCTTCAAATAAGGATTGGCTCAACAAAATTGATCAGGTTTATAAATGCCTGAGCTCACTATAACATATGTATTACTCACATACCACAAATTATGTAAATCCCTTTAAATTTATTCAACAAAATGTAAATGTAACTTCTGAACCATGTACACCTATGTAGGAAGGTAAAGAGTTGATGGCCTCCAAACCAGAGTTTGAACCCATTGTGAAGGATCGTCTGACGAAACTTCACGATCTGTGGAACAAGCTGGAACATACCACACAGGAAAAGGCCCGACTTCTGTTTGATGCACATCGCTCAGAGCTGTTTGAAGAGAGCTTGGCTGATTTAAAGAAGTGGTTGGCTAATCTGCAGCAGCAGCTCCAGGGTGATGTTAATGAGGAGGTTAAAGATCTTACTAGTGCCAATATCCTTCTCAAGAAGCATCAGGTAAATATTCATATTCATTTCTGAAAATACCAAGCACTTCTCTTGAAAACAAGCAGCACTTTAGATAGTCTGCCACTTCTGTTTTGATAACAGTTGTTTTTGGGATTCGTCCAAGTGCTTAAAATTGTTCAAAATTAAACGTAGAACACTAAAGTCCCTCTGAGGGAACACTTTAAGGTTCTTTCTGAAAGCCTACAGCAGAGTTTCTCTATCATAAAATGCTAAAAAAAACCAACAACAACAACAAAACAAAAAAACAAAAACAAAGAGAAAACTATTAACCATCCAATGAACTAGTTCCAATGTTCCCATAGTTCCCAGTACCATCCCATGATGAACTGGTTGTTAATAAGAGCATGTTTGAATACTATGTTTAAAATGTGCCTAATTTTCGATCAATAAATTACTAATTTATGCTTGTTTTTGTCAACAAAATAATGATAATTTGAAAACAAAAGCATGTCATAGTTCATTTATTGTAACTAGTTATATGTTTTCCTTGTGTGCCGTTGTATTGTTATCTTTTTCTTTCCTTTTTTTAGTAAATTAATTTACAATATCATTGACTGTAAATTAGCAGTTGGCCTCTTTAGTCTGATGTTAGTACTGGATTTAAAGCATATCAGCAGGTATCAAGTACTTTATATAAGGGTTCTCAAAACTTTTTTGCATAGGGACCCCATTAACTGCAAAATGCATTTCATGGACTCCATTAGAATAGGCTTTTAGTCACAATCAGACTATTCAAATATGAGGGAATAATATTTTGGCTATTTATTGGAACCATAGAGTTTTTTCACCCTGAAATGTCCACCAACAAGCCTATCTGTAGTTTGGATTAAAGCCAGTCAAGTGACAAGTGACCAGTCAAATATTACTAACTCCTGTCTAACAGGGTTTTAGCTTGATTGTATTCTTACACCCTGATTTTGTACTAGCATGAGGATATTTTTTTGATAGAGACTAAAATGCACTTCTGGAGAATGGCATCTGTTAAAAATGTTGTAAATGTAAATTACAATGAAAATAAGAGGTATATAAGAGGTAAATAATACGTATAACTGATAATGGTGGGTTGTGGTGTTCATCATTGTATCAAACAATTATTACCAATCCCCTAACAATATAATGTGACATTTTTACATTATACCATGCCATCTTGATATTGTGCCAGGTTACCAGTGCATTATGAATTATAAAGTTTGAAAATGGAAGTTTGTGATTACAACAAGGGCTGAACACATACTACAAGATATGTAAGAAAGGAATTGACCATGTCTTAATATTTTTCATCTATACCAAACAGCCTGCAAAGACTTTATAACCCTTATGAACTTGAGAATGACAAATCTTTTTTTCATTCTTTGGAACAGCAGCTGAAACACAAAAATAGGCACCTATGCACTCTGGCTGAATTACACATTCAGTGAATGGAAAAGTGGGCAAAATTTACCGCCATTATTGCTTAACAGGATTTGTACTGTTAAGGCCAGAGGGTGTGCATAAACTAGCAAAAGAAATAACACATACGTGTGTTTTGGTGTTTCACCGACTGTTCCAAATCACCGCTCTGGTTTTTTAAATGTCAGTCAAAGTGTCTCAGTGTTCCATTCTGCTTGTCAAGCAACTTACACACAGCCCTGTAGACCCAGCATTCATACCCTACAGTTGTCATCCTGGAATGTGGGCGTGTCAGTGTTGTGTTCTGCACGAAAGGCAATCTCAGAGTCTGGCTAATACAAGATAATTCATTTTTATGACAATTACATTTGTTCAGGTACTCAACATTGTAAATTATTGTGCAATTATTAGACGTAAATTTAATTTGTGTCTGTGTTAGTGATTTTTGAGACTAGGTGACAATTCTCACACACATCATCAAGATAGTAAAGTATAGTCAATGTTTATTCATTATACCTTCAGTAACCTCATTATCCTGGTCAGGGTCACGGTGGAGCCTATTCACTGGGCACTAGGCAAGGTCACACCCTGAATGGGACCCCAGTCCATCTCAAGCACCACGCTAGCCCACATTCACACACTAATTCACACCCGGGGTAATTTTAGCATAGGCATTCTGTCTACTGGTATGTTTTTGGGAAGTAGGTGGAAACCTGAGGAACTTGTGCACGGGGTGAACATTCTCAGAAAATCCACACAAACAGTAACCTGAGCTCAGGATCAAATTGTTAAATCATGTATTGATATAACATTTTATGTATAGTGAGCTCAAATGTTGATTTGCTTTATACTAGAAATAGTCTGGTTAACATCTTAGACAATGCAGTAAAAATGCTTGGATTTCATTTTGGATTTTCACTTAGGCCTTGAAATCTCTATATATAACCAGTGTGACCTGTACTCCTGCAGATGACTGAGAATCAGGTGCGAGACCGAGGTCGGGAGCTGCAAGAGCTGCAGGAAGCTGTGCAGCAGCATACTCCACTGACTGAAGAGCAACCGGAGCTGGAAGCTGAGCAGCAGGTCGTCCAGAGAGACTTTCAGCAACTCCTTACACCTCTGGCTCAACGCAAGGGACAACTCGAGGCAGCTAAAGCTGTGTACCAGTTCTATAGAGATGTGGCAGATGAGATAGTGAGTGGCAATTCTACAAGGAGGGATTCACAGAGATCTAATGAACATTTGTCATTTAATCTTTTGATTTGATTTGATTTTTAGCTCTGGCTTGAAGAAAGATTGCCTATGGCCATGTCACAGGATCATGGGAACAATCTACAGACAGTCCAGCTTCTCCTGAAAAAGAATCAGGTGGGCTTATCCTGCCTTGAGGCAACATCACAATTGTTTAATTGTTCATGATTATTTGCATTAACCAAATTTATCCAAATACAGACCCTCCAGAAGGAGATTGAAGGTCACCAGCCACGTGTGGATGAGGTGTTGCAGCGGGGTCGACGTATGATGGTGGCTGCAGAAGGTAGCCCAGAGGCAGAGCATATGTCTGAGGAAATGAAAAGGTTGGAGGAGGTGTGGGCTCGGCTGCAGGATGAAATGGAAAAACGTCGAGCTCGACTCAGTGCCTCTAATGATGCCCAGCAATACTACAATGATGCAGATGAAGCAGAAGCATGGATTGGTGAACAGGAACTCTACATGATTGCTGATGATAAAGCAAAGGTAGAGCTATTCAGGAAGTGATGAATAAATGAATGGGCACCTTTGCAAAGCTTTACACAGAATAATTTAGTTTTTCTTAAACCTTTTTTGCTATTTGTTGGATTTCTTTGAAACCATCGAGTTTAAAGACCTACTTTTCTCTTCTTGTAACTTATTATCTCCATTCGTTACAGGATGAGCAGAGCGCTGTGATTTTGCTAAAGCGGCACTTGGTTCTGAAGCAGGTTGTTGATGACTATGCAGATTCTATCCAGAAGCTCGCTGACCATGCTCAGAAGATGTTTGCTGAAGACCATCCTGAAGGGTATGCTAACAATTTGTTGTAAAACAGTCTTTAACAAGAGGAGTGTCGTAAATTTACATTCTCATTTTCCTGTGCAGGGAGGCCATCATCCGGAGGCAGGGTCAGGTGGACAAACAGTATGCAGGACTGAAGGAGTTGGCTGAGGATCGCAGGAGGAAACTTGATCACACCTACCATCACTTCCTCATGAGCCGGGAGGTGGAAGATCTGGAGCAGTGGATTGCTGAGCGTGATGTGGTGGCTTCTTCACAGGAAATGGGACAGGACCTGGACCATGTTACAGTACTGCAGACACACACCTTCACACATACCTTCACACACATAGTAATGTAAGACACTTAGAAGATGAAGAGGTTTACACACACATGTCAACTGTCTAATGAAATATTAAACGAGCTCTTGTTTCTAGCCTGGTAATTAGGTCACAGGCTAAATTGTCACCATGT